GAGGTCAAGACTATGGATCGGCCCTCCGATAGCTTCTTAGTCAACGCGTCCCACAGACACCTTCGGGCCACTGGATCCACGCCAGTGGTCGGCTCGTCCAAGAAGCTCACCGATGGGTTGCCCAACAAAGCCTATAAATACAGACACGACATGTCACTAAGAGGTGATACTCTTGTGGTAAACGCTATGATAATACTATTGATAAACCCTATGATTGTATGCTTTTTATAAGATAATACTCGCAAAACAGTTCCCATACCCTAACCCAACCTAACCTACTCTACACTGTCATTGGGTTAATGATACTCTTGTGGTAAATGATAAGATAATACTGACCACAGCTGTACTCAGTTTGCGTTTGGTACCGCCGCTGTAGTTCTTCACCAGTTTATTCAAATGCATGTCAAAGTACAACAGTTTACTGATCTCCTGGATGTGTCTCTCGATATCGAACTCTTTTATTCCTCTAAGTCTGCAGAACAGGATCAGAGTTTCCCTACCCGTCAACTGCTCCAGTAGACCATCAAACTGGGGACAGTAGCCGATCTGGCGCTGCACCTCCTGTATGGAACTCTTGACGTTACAGCCATTCACGTAGATATCACCGCTAGATATGGTCTCATCGCCGGTAATCATCTTAAAAGTGGTGGTCTTTCCGGCGCCGTTCACTCCCAACAAACCGAAACACTCGCCCCGTTTCACACCGTAGGAGATGTGGTCGACGGCCGTGAAGTTGCCGTACGTTTTGGTCAGCCNTAATAATTATTCCCTTTAATTGATGTTTTGAATACTTTAAATGCAAATAAAATCACCAACCAAGTATTTTAAATGAAAATATTTATTCAAATCTCATTGCATAAATAAATACAAACAGAATTTATATTGAGTAACACAGTATGTATGAATTAATAAATAAATAAATAATTTGTCACACGTTTAACAGAATATTCTGTTAGCAAAAATGGATTATTTAAAAATTAAGTTAATCACCGGTATATCATACATATCAAGGTATTAATGATAACCACAATAAATATGTTCAATAAATAGACTATATATCGAGAAAAATAAATAACATTTTCTTATCAATAAATGTATTTAATACAAACTCTTATCACTTAATCCTTGTCCTCCTTCTGAGTGGCAGCGAATCCCAAGAATATCTGCTCGAGAGTGGTCTGACCCACGGAGTAGTCCTCGATATTCAGGGTATTCTTGGCCCTCTCGATGGCCCCGAAAATGTGAGCCCACGTGAGATCCGGATCATTCAAATAGTAGTTCAACAGATTGTAGTGAATTTCCTTCAGCTCGCAGCCGACAAACGACTTCTCCATGAAGTCCTTCATGTCTTTGATGTTCTGATCCAACACTATATCGTTGGAGACGATACTCGTCTGACGCCACGCGAGCTTCGAGGGCCGGCGCTGGCCATCGGGCACAGCCTCACCAACATCTTGATTGCCGGTCAGCACTTTGATCCGTACGGTATATCCCTTTCCAAACTTGTTCTTCAGCTGTTGAGGGCTACCGATGCAACAGATCCTGCCGTTCACCATAATTATGAGTCGGTTGCAGAGGGCCTCGCATTCCTCCATGGAATGGGAGGTCAAGACTATGGATCGGCCCTCCGATAGCTTCTTAGTCAACGCGTCCCACAGACACCTTCGGGCCACTGGATCCACGCCAGTGGTCGGCTCGTCCAAGAAGCTCACCGATGGGTTGCCCAACAAAGCCTATAAATACAGACACGACATGTCACTAAGAGGTGATACTCTTGTGGTAAACGCTATGATAATACTATTGATAAACCCTATGATTGTATGCTTTTTATAAGATAATACTCGCAAAACAGTTCCCATACCCTAACCCAACCTAACCTACTCTACACTGTCATTGGGTTAATGATACTCTTGTGGTAAATGATAAGATAATACTGACCACAGCTGTACTCAGTTTGCGTTTGGTACCGCCGCTGTAGTTCTTCACCAGTTTATTCAAATGCATGTCAAAGTACAACAGTTTACTGATCTCCTGGATGTGTCTCTCGATATCGAACTCTTTTATTCCTCTAAGTCTGCAGAACAGGATCAGAGTTTCCCTACCCGTCAACTGCTCCAGTAGACCATCAAACTGGGGACAGTAGCCGATCTGGCGCTGCACCTCCTGTATGGAACTCTTGACGTTACAGCCATTCACGTAGATATCACCGCTAGATATGGTCTCATCGCCGGTAATCATCTTAAAAGTGGTGGTCTTTCCGGCGCCGTTCACTCCCAACAAACCGAAACACTCGCCCCGTTTCACACCGTAGGAGATGTGGTCGACGGCCGTGAAGTTGCCGTACGTTTTGGTCAGCCGTCTGATGATCATAGCGTCCGACTCGAAGAGCTTCTGGAGGTTGTCGTTGTTGTCGATGCGGTCGGACTCGCGCTTCACGTCATCGTCGATCTTGTCGTTCATCTCGAGATTCTTCGCCTCATTTGATCCAAACTTATTCATTAGCGATGCCTTCAGTTGCGTGAATGAGTAGCGGATGTTTCGCATGACATTCAGCTCAACCAATACGATCAGTGCCCAGAAGACTAGGCCCTGGAGTACGAACAGCAGGAGTAGGCGTCCGATACCCGGGTTATCAAAGGCGAAGAAGTTGTCACTCCATGGGAAGCAAGTGTCGCCGCATTTGTCTACCAATTAAACGCAGATATTAGCTATAAATCGCTATCAGAGACAGTAAACAGTGGACATACCTTTGCAACACGGCTTAATCACGTCGGGCACCGGTATCGTAATGTTCATGCCCTGGGGAATCCTATCCAGGTAATCCTCGAACAGATATGAAAACTCTTTGAACTCATTCTTCACCATTTCGATGAACTCCGTGGCGTTAACTGTACCCATATTGCAGGCCTTCTGGAGGGGCCCGATATTGCAGTACTTGTTGCCCAAGTAGTTGGTGTACAGGTGGTAGACACTCCTCCCCATGTTATAGTTTGGTAGAAATATGCTGAACGACATGTCCAGTACCCGGCCCACACTGGCCAGGTCCAGGAGCGGTAGTTCGGTCACCACTACCGTAATGAAGGTCCCGATGCCCACGATTATGTTGAACAGACAGATGCGGACGTAGGCCGTGGAGGGCACGTCAAACATGAAGGACAGTAGGTATACCATGGGTAGTAACGCGAACCCATGGGCCGCAAACACCACAAATAGTCGACTTTCCTGTGCGGCCGACCGGAGGGGCTCCTCATTGAAAAGCCAATACATGAGCATAACGCCCAGGCATGCAATAATGTAGATTAGGAAGTCCCATATGAATGACGTGATCCAAAACAGGTATAACTTGACGCCACAGACTTGCTGTAAATGTTTGCCTTTTATGGACTTCTCTTTGACGAGAAGTACGGCAAAACTCGCCGCCAGGAAAGACATACTAAACATGAGATTCTCGGACAACTGGAACTGTTCGGGTGACGCGTACTGGACCTGAAGTAGTTTGTCGGCCGTGGTTAGCGGTAAGGGGTGGTTGGACACCTCGACAGTGTAGTTGGGGTTTGTGATCATATATCGCACAATAGCCGAGTCGACAGCCGCCAAACTTATAGCCGACGAGTGGAAGGGCTGGTTGTTGAACAGGGCGGTCACCACCAGACCCTCCTCGTGCATGGTGTCCGAGCACATCTTGTGCTCATTGCTGCATATCATGGCCCCGATGGGCACGTGGAGGTTGAAGTACGCGATGTTTTTCTGGGCCTCTGTCAGGGTGTACTCGACCATTGATTCCGTGAGGTTTGTGGTGTTGAATGTATGTCCGTAGATCCGATTCCGGCCCCCAAACTGGTCTTTATAGGCGCCGATCATGTCTATCATGTCATCGGCGGTGCTGTTGTTCACAAAATACGGCACTTCTGTGCCCTTATAGTTGTCTAAAGTCAACAGCAGTTCCGGCGATTCGCCTAATTTTGGCAAATTCTTGAGCATTATTAGCACAATGAGCGCGAAAAACGTCGGTATCAGCAACTGGGACACCGTTAGCGTCCGGTTCCTCAGTGTATACAATATTTTCTTCATTAAAAGCGCGTAAAATTGTTGTCCAATGAGTGTATAACCGGTGTTTCGCTCGTCATTCTTGAGGTCCAGATTCAGTGATACCTCACTCTTATTGTCCAGTTTTTGGGACGCTTTCAACGCCTTCATGCCTTCCTCCGCATACTCGCCCACTCTGTGGTGACAATCAATTCATACGTTAATTATCTTAATATAACAATCAGTGTCTGAACACATACTTCAGGAACACCTCCTCCATAGTGGTGATGGATATGCCGTAGCTGTCGATACCCAACAGTCCCTTCTGGAGCTCGATATTCGTGAAGAGGGCCTCAAATTTGTTGCTGTGATGGTCGGGCAGATTGTAGCTAATCTCAGTGCCCGCCGAGCTGTCAAACTTGGCGTCCATTACGTGCGATTGGATGAGACGGGTGATGGGCGCGACATCCGTGGTGTCACTGGTCTTCACGATTGTCATGTGATAGCCGGCGCCGTACTTTTTCTTGAGATACAGGGGTGATCCGCAACACTGGAGCTGTCCGTTCGCCATAATGGCTATCCTCTCGCCCAACATCTGTGATAATATCAATGGATTTAATGGTTGTCATGATTGCGATGGGTGTCGGGGTGTCACTCACATCCGCCTCCTCCATGAAATGTGTCGACAGGAGTATCGTTCGGTCGGCCTTCTCGGCTAAGAGCAGATCCCATGTGAACCTCCGGGCGTAGACATCCATACCCGACGTGGGCTCGTCCAGTATGACGATCTTGGAATTGCCTACCAGTGCCATCCCTATCTGTAAACGCATTTTCATGTGATTATCATTAAGTATACGAGAAGTGTTGTGTCAAACGCACCGACAGTTTTCGCTTCTGTCCGCCGGACAGTGTCTTCGAGGCTTTCCGTGTCTTGTCTTCGAGTCCCAGCAATTGAATCATACGTTTGATCTCATTCTGCATATCGTTTTTGTCAAAGTTTTTCAGTTGACAGTAAAACGACAGGTGCTCCTCGACTGTCAGCTCGTCGAACAGGACGTCAAACTGCGGACATATGCCGAGACTCGACCGGATCTGATCCATGTCTCTGCGGATGTCGTATCC